GGGGGGGGGTGGGCAGCCAGGCCGGGCCGGGGGGCACCGGGGGTGCTGTGGCTACCGGCCGTCCCTTCCACTGGGTCCCTGCTGTCCCCGCAGATCTGAGCCAGGTGGAGATAACCCGCGCCTACCTGGCTAAGCAGGCGGACGAGATTTCCCTGCAGCAGGCTGATGTGGTGCTGGTGTTGGGTGGAGAGGACGGTGAGTGTCAGCGCGCGCAGAGCTGCGGCCAGGGAGGGTTTATCTTGGGTGGAGCTGCTGGAGGGGGGAGAAGAAGCTTCAGTGATCCCAGTGAACTGGGCGTTTAACACTTTCCAGAAGCTTCCAGGAAGCTCTGGCTGCTGGTGGGGTCCATGGTGCTGGCTGGTGCTGTGTCCCAGCGGGTCCCCGGAGGGTGACGGAGGTGGCACTGCCACGGGCGGCCGCTGCCTTACATCGACTCCAGAGACCTCAGAAGCGAGAGAAATAATCCCCAGAACAGGCAGTAAATCAGAACCGTCCTCCCCGGCACAGCTCTCCCTGGGCTGGCACCTCGGTGGGGAGGGGAGGGGGCAGCCCCCGGGAGCCGTGGCCCATCGTGGCGTCAGCAGCCCTGTTCCTCCCCTAGGCTGGTGCTGGGGCGAGAGGCTGCGGGACGGCGAGCGGGGCTGGTTCCCCCAGGCCTGCGCTCGGCAGATCACCAGCCGCACGGCGGTGGAGGGCAACGTCCGGCGCATGGAGCGCCTGCGGGTGGAGACCGACGTGTAGGCGCCTCCATCCTCCCGCGGGTCGGGGGGTCTTCAAACCTCTGCAGACTGAGCTCGTAGTGAGGAGGCAGCGGCAGAGCCTTTCTTCTTGAATTCCGTCTGTCTTGAGCAGTCGCAGGCGGCAGATCTTATCGTGCAGGACCGGTCTTTGCAGCGGCCGTGGCAGCAGCGAATTAATGTGAGACCTGGCACCGGCGCGCTCCCGGCCAGCGCTAATATTAATGACCTGGAACGGGCTTCGAGAGGCAGCCACGGTGCTGGCACAAGTTGAAAAGGCTGCGGCGGTGCTGGGGGCTCTGAAGCGGCTCGTGCTGCCGTCCCTTTCCCTGCCGACGTCTGGGCTGGCGCCTGCTGGCAGCAGCCTCGCGCCTTCTGTGGGAGGACGTGGGGCACAGGGAGAGGCACCTGAATCGAGAACTTTTAGGAACTTAAACCCACATGCCAGGTTTATTCCTTGATCCAATTTTTCCCTCCTATTTCTTTTTTTTTTTTTTTTCTCTCTCTCTCTTTCTTCTGCCCCCACAATTATTCTTGGTTCCTTTGAGCACAAGGTGGTGCCCACTTGCTAAACCAGCAGATGCCAAAGGCAGGTGCTCTCAGAATTGTTCTCTTGAGGCCAGAACTGGGATGCTCCAGCCGGAGGGAAGAGATCTGCAAGTCCCGCTGGCCGAGCAGCCCAGCAGCATGAAGAGGAGTGGCGCTGCAGCTCCCAGCTGCCTTTCCCGTCTCCCGGGGTGGGCAGGTGGAGGTGCCCCGGCAGAACTGGGGGGCTCATCCCCCCGCCCCCAGAGAGGGACGTAGTCACAGAGGGTCAAAGCTCAGCCTTCGTGAGGCAGAGCGGTCCCCTCTCCCTTCTCCCCCAGAACTAGCACCAAGGGGTTAGTTAACAAAGAGGGTTGAGGCAGCGCAGTGCTTTGGGCACAGTTTGCGCCTGGGTTCGTCACAAATCAGGTGTTTAACGCCGCGGGAGCTGGGGCTGCAGGGCCCTGCCAGGCTCAGCTGCTCACGCCTCGTGGAGGGGAGATGGCAGCTGGGGGGGGGAGGCAGCTCCCTGCGCTGCCCGGCTTTGGGTTCACCGTTGTTATAAGGTGTCTGTTTTGATTAAAACTGTTAAAGGATTAATTGAATTAGCAATAAATTCTTGGATGCCAATGAAACACCCGTTGTCGCCCAGAAGGGAACGGTGCGCAATGTCGGCACCGGTGGGTCCCTCCCTGGGTGGTGGCGCGTGTCCCTGGGCGGGTCGGTGCCAGTGAGCCGGGTTTCCTAGTAAGGGCTCCGCAGGGCAAGTTCCCGTCTGCTGGCAGCAGCGTGCTGGCTTGCTCCGGCCATCCACCCACCTCAGGAAACATCCTTCAGAAAAGCTGACTGAAAATCTGCCGGCAGCTGCAGGACATTTCAAGGGTAATTGACTGAGAGAGACAAGAGGAGAGAGAAATTCAGTGAGGCTTGTTTATTTCTAGTAACTGTGGAAGAATTAAAATTTTTCATCAGCGCTCAACTGAGGAGTTGGGATCCAAAAAGAAAGACACTAGCTACACAAGAAGAGCAAGCAAACAAACTGTATTAAAAAATACGCACAGGGAGAAAAATCATGGTATAAAAAATACAGGTCCGGAGTTGCTGCGAACCCACGCTCAGACACGTGGGTTACTCCAGGCAGCTGCCAGGACAGAGCCAGCCCCATGGCTGCGTTTCTGGGCTCTCCCGGAGCCGGGCCGGCGAGGCAGAGCCTTCCTCTGCATCCTCTGCACCTCGCTGTCAGGGCAGACGGCACGGTGACATCGCTGCCCACCACGGCGGCACAGCCCGCGGCCCCCCGGCTGCACCCAGCGGCTCGGGGCCTCTCGCCAGCCCCGGACTCGCGGCGCTGGGTGGGGGGCGCATGGGGAGGGGCCGCGGGAAGGGCCAGAAACCTTCGTCTAACACAACGGTCGCTTCAAGGCAAACGGAACGAAACGTGTGATTGTCTGGAGAATCGGCAGCAAGACGAGCAGGATTGATCAGGGTCATTTGGCACATGGACAAAATCTTCCTACTCCCTGGTTATCAATCATACAACATACAACCTTAATTACACCATTTTGGTCCTTCACTACATACTTATATTAACATTATTTCTTCACAATAATGATATCTAATGCAAAAAATACTGTTAAGGAAGAAATAAAATAAGAAAAGAATTAGCAAAAAATTACAAGTTATATACAGATTAAAATAAATTCCATCAGGAAAAGAAACAATTCTTTTATTATTTTCAGTTGGCCCCTGTGGGAATAATTTAAAGGCCAAGCGCCTGGGCAGGGCTGTGCTGCAGCAGCAGCAGCAGAGGCAGATGTGCCGGGACGGAGCGGCCCGTCTCCTGGTTCCTTTTGACATCGTGGGCTCCGGGGCTCTAATTCCCCAAGAGCTTTGTGCAAACAGACGAAGGGGCCCGGCTCGGGCCGGCTCTCGGGGACCTCGCTGGGCCTCAGTGTTCCCCGTCACTGCCGGTGGCAGCCGAGGCTCCGCCGTGGCTCCGCGCTTGCCCAGCGCGGCCGCTCCTGGTTCAGCTGGAACGGAAAGATAACGCGGGGTCCTGTGCTGTGGCGAGAACACGTGAATAGGGATTTGCATTTCTGGCACCACGCAAGAGCTTTGTCCACACAGCGTCTCTGTGTATTACAGTTCCTCGAGGCCTCTCATCGGAGCACGCACACGGGCAGCTCAAGGGGGCTGACACACTCCGGGTTTGAAAACCCAGCTCCCACCCCCTGCACAGCTGGCCAGAGCAGCCCGCACTGCGGCGAGTGACAATTTACAGTAAAAGACCATCGCAAAGTCAAATTAAACAACAAAAAAATATCCAAGTGAGGTGGTACCTCTGCGGGAGCGTGATCTCAGGGGAGCCGGGCACCTTCAGCCATCCGTTCTGACAACGCTGCTGTGCAGCTTCCCATAAATACTGTTGCATAAACTTGGGACCAGAATTTCAGCCCCCACACCCCGCCCCAAGCCCAGCACCCAAAAGATGAAGGCCAGCTTTGCCACGAGCCGTCAAAGTCCGCTGGCCAGAAGTGATGGCTCCTGAACTGGTCCCTGGCTGGCCGAGGGCCTGCGCCACTGGCCGGGTACTTGCCCTCGCGGCGTGCCCGGAGGCCAGCCCGCGCCGTTGTGGTGGCGAACTGGTTACACTGGGCGCTTCAGCCTCGCTCAGGCAACCCCGACAGCGGCCGCTGGGGCTGTCAGGAAATGGCAACAGCTCGTGTGGCTTGTAAACAAGTTCGTTAAATAGGTCCTTGGCTTCTTCGGGTGGCTGCCTGGCCACACCGCGGGCGCGCTCCCGGCAGGACCTAGTGCTGGGCCGGCGGGGACCCGGTGGGCGCCGGCGGCTGCACGGCTGGAAGGGAAGCAGAGACACGTCAGTCGGTCTGTCCGGACGGACAGAGCCTGCGCCCGCAGCCGGGCCCCGTGGCTTCACGTCCCAGCACACAAAGCCACTGGCCGGGGTGCGTCCCCAACCGGGGGGCGAGGAGGGCGCTGGGCCGATGGCAAACCCAGGGGTGCTGCCGCCCATCCCGCAGAAGCGCCGCACGGCACCCGCAGGGAAGCCAACAGGTGCAGCTGTGGTTTGGGTAGAAACATGGGGTTTTTTTCACCGTGGTCCAGTGTGCCCGGAAAAGAGCGGGCTTTGTGCCCTGGCTTTCCCGGGGGCACGTCTGGGGTCCGGCTGCTGAGCAGCTTTATTTTCACAGTGCTGTCAGCACGCAGCCGGCATTTCCACGAAACCTCCCTCATGGCTGGGGTGATGGTGAACAAATCGAACCAAGGGAGGGCCTTGGGAAGAGGCAGGTGCTACATTACGGAGCTGCTTTCAGCTCACAGCTCCGATCCCCCACCAAAACCACCCCCCCAGGCCTGCGCCATGGCCCGAGCTCGGGTCTCGCGGCATCCCCGGGCAGCAGCTGGTTTCTCATGAGGATTCCCCCCTCCCTGCTGTGGCATGGGGCCCGCACGTTACCGTCCCGACACGTCGGCCCCAGGTAGCCGTTGAGGCAGAGGCACTGCCCGTTCCGAGCGTTGCAGTGGGCGCTGCCGGCGGCACACTGGCAGGGCAGGCTGCAGTCCGGGCCGTACCGGCTGGGCCGGCAGTCTGGGGAGGGCACAGAGGAGCCCTCAGCCTCCTTCCGCGCCGGAGCAGACATGCTCAGACGTTGGAGACTGAGCACGAGATAAGGCAGAGAGCGCTTTGCTCCCCCCCCTCCCCAGCCTGCTCTGGAGCTCTGGTGATACAGGACGTCAGAGCACCCCCAGGCCAACAGGGTGGTTCTTCTGCGTTTGATCCTCAGCCTTTCAGCTCTGGTGATCTAAATACAAGGGCACTGGGGGCCAGGGGAGCGCTTGCACTCAGACCCGACTACAAAGAGAGGCTGGAGAGGTGATTACCTCTGCTGAGACACCCTCTCACTCTTGGAGGGGACACATACAAAAACCAACGCCCCCCTTCCATGAGAATTCAGCTCCAAGAAGAGGGGTTTGCATCCATTATAAGACTGGGCTTCTAGCCTACTCTCAGTGCCCCTCTGGCCTGGTCGCCTTCCTCACCTTCCCAGGCTGGGGCTCAACTCACCTGCCCCGCACTTGAGGCCGGTTTTCCCGGGGGGACAGAGGCAGCGCCCCGTGGCTGGCTCGCAGGGCGCGTTGCCGAGGCAGTCGCAGAGCTGCTGGCATCCCTCACCGAACGTTCCCTCCGCGCAGCCTGTGTTGAGAGGGGAGAGACGAGAGGTGAGATGATACGGGAGCGAGCCTCGGGCCCCCCGCCTGTCCCGGGGGAGCAGGGGGAGGACGGGGTACCTGTCTGACAGCGCTCGCCGCCAAACCCGGCGGGACACTGGCAGCGGCCGGTGGCTGGCTCACAGCCTGCTCCGTGCTCGCAGTCGCAGCGCTCCCGGCAGCCAGCTCCGTGGAAACCCGGGGGACAGCCTGGGAAGGAGCCAGCGGAGAGCCCGTTAAAGCACGGGTGGGTTGCGCTCCGCAGCCGCCACGGCAAAGCCTCTGCCAGCCCACCAGAGAGAAGCAGCGAGCCTTGCTCTTCGCGAAGTGCCCACCCTGCGGGCGCAGTGGCCCCAGGCAAGGCTACCAGCTTCCCGCCTCGCACAGCAGCTCAGCTCTGCCTGACAGGACGCTGAGTGCCCAGCAGCAGCACCTCCGTACCCCGCGGAGAACAGACGTTACCTCTGGGTGACTCGGGAAGGGTTTGGTGCGACCACTAAGAGAGGAAGAGCCCATCGGTGCACGCAGCCGCGAGTGCGACAGGGTCATGCCTCCACGTCCTGCTCCCCGGTGGGCTTTGGAACCCCCCCCTCCCACGAAGCCAAAGGTGTTTGGGCTGCCACAACTCACTGTGCTCACAGAGGGGCCCGTAGCGGCCCGCGGGGCAGCGGCAGGCTCCCGTGGCCGGGTCACAGGTGCCGTTGTGCAGGCAGGCGCAGCGGAGCTGGCAGCCGGCGCCGAACCTTCCCGGCGGGCACTCTGCAGGGAAGAGGCAGTGGCAGAGCTGCTCAGCGGCCCCGGCCCCGCTCCTGCACCTCAGTGGGCCAAGGGGTGGCAAGGCAGAACAGGAACAGTGGGGGTAACAGAAACTGGGCCCAGTATGAACCAGATGGAGCGAGCTCCATGGTTCCTGGGCCGGCGCAGGACGATGAACCCGAGCCGGATTTACCTAATTCGCAGGATTTCCCCGTCCACCCAGGCGCACACGAGCAGGAGCCGTCGGCAGCGTCGCAGAGCCCCCCGTTGCGGCAGGAGCAGGTCTGCTGGCAGCCCGGCCCGTAGCGGTGCCGCTCGCAGCCTGCGGGGCCAGACGAGGCGGCCGTGGGCATGTGGAGCGCGGCGCGGTTCAGGCAGGAGCACCCCAGCACGGGCAGAGGGCTCAGGGCAAGGAAATAGGTCCCCGCTTTTCCAACCCGCAGCCTGAAACGCTGCTCGTCCTGATGCACGACCCTGCGGCGAATATTTACCTTGCTCACAGGTGGGACCAGCTCGTCCCGGGGGGCAAACGCAGTCCCCGGTGATGGGGTGACAGGCAGCGCCGTCCCCGCAGGAGCAGACCCGCGCGCAGTCCTGGCCGTAGCGACCAGCCGGACACCCTGGGGGGAGGAAAAACCTTTGAAGGGCGGCGAGGAGGGACCCCGCAATGGCACACGAGCAAAGGATGGGGGGCAGGAGGAGCCCGCAGCCCTGTCGCGAGTGCGCAGGGTCGCGGGCAGAGCAGGGAAGGAGCTTTTAGGTTTCCTTCTTCTGAGGGAGAGAAGCGTTTCGAGCGGGCTCCGGCTGCCCCGGGCACCCACCGACAGCGCAGTCAGCGCCGATGTAGCCGGCCGGGCAGCGGCACATCCCGGTGGCAGCGTCACACACGCCCCCGTTCCTGCACTCGCACGGCCTCTCGCAGTTACGGCCGTACCACCCCGGGGAGCACTCTGCGGAAAAAAACGAAAAAACAGGTCTCAGCGCCTAAAAAGACAACAAGAAGGTCCAAACGTCCTGAAAAATCCACCAGGGGGATTCATGCAGCCGTTCCGTGGCAGAGGAAGGCGGCCGCTCTGCTGGAAGCGGGTCTGTGCCAGCCTGGCGCAGCCGATGGGTTTCTGACGGGCTTTGCAGCATGAGACAGTCAGATACAGCAGCGCAGCTCACACACGGGCACCCCCCACGAGCCGTGCCAGGCGTGGCCCAAATATCACAGACAACACACGCTCCTGCGGCCCCTGAAGTGCAGGAATGTGACTGCTAGTGTGAGGCCGAAGGCAGAGCCAAAGAAAATCCCCGAAAGTGCTGGCAAGTAATCTCATGGCAAAGAAACAACAACTCCGAGGAGCTTTGGACTGTCCAGAACCTCTCTGCTGATGAGTCTGCTGCTAAATATCCCGTAAGAAGGAAAAATGGCCAAAAAAAATGGCCTGAGCGCAGATGAGCAGGATGCTCCGTTTACATGAACTCCTACTTGTGAATTAGTCAGCGAGAGCCACCGCAGAGTTTCGTGTGCAAGGTCTTCGGGTTTTTTGCCGCGTTTGTGTGCAGGGCCAGGCTTGGGCAAGGGAGCAGGAAACCACTGGCCTGGAGAGACTCAGCTCCCGAGCTGCAAGAGCTGGGCAGTGGTTAAGAACCGAATGAGAAAAGACCTCAGCCACAGTGACGAGGCCGAAGGCAACCACGGCAGGAAAGCCGGGCCGACAACCCGTGAGCTCCCGTGCTTCGAGCTGCTCCCGTGGCTCTGCCCCGCCCGGCACCGAGCTTTTAGGACAAAGCGCAGCCGTGGGCAGCAGCTGCAAGGGTGGGTGACGCGCGGAGGAACGGGGCACGGACTCACCCAGCTGGCAGGAGGGACCGTGGAAGCCGGGGGCGCAGACGCACGCCCCGGTGACGGGGTGGCACTCCTGGGTGGCTCCGGCGCACTGGCAGGCGTGGGCACAGCCCGCGCCGAAGGTCCCTGGCAGGCAGGCTGGCAGGAGAGAGGGCGCCGAGGTCAGAGAGGCTGAGCTGGAGCTAGCCCAACCCCTCCGTGCAAGACTTTTTTTTCCTTATTTATTTTAAGCCAGGAGTTAGGAAGCCTTTTGTGACAGTGAAAGGTCTCTGCCGCACAAAAAGCAAAGGGAGCTGCGTGCAGATGGCTCCTCGACCCCAGGAAAGACTCGGGTTGAAAAGAAAACCGAGTACTTAAGGGCATTAGCTGCCTTCCGCGACGCTGGCCCGACCCAGGCTCACATTCCCGCGAGCTCCCATCCCCACACAGAGCCATCGCCCGTGCACCCTGTCCTCTGGGTAAGGAATGCGCTCGCATGCCTCTGTCTCTTCCAGACTTGCTCATACCCACAGGAGCTCATTTTAATACTGATTTATTGCTAATCCTCTGCATAAATACGTCGCTCTGATTTCCCACTTGGCTCCCTGCGCTCTGCTAACATTCTGTGGGCATGCACCCAGCTGCCAGAATGCGAGTTGCTCCTTGGCACAGCTCGCTGTTGGGTTTGGGGTTTTTTTCCCCTTGTTTTTCTTTTTTTTTTCCCCCCTGTATTTTATGTAGCAATTGCTTGACCCGTCATGTTCCCAGAGCCTGTCAGCAGAACTGTAAGAGGATCGCTCCCTCCTTCGCACTTTTTTCGCATCCAGAGCCCGTGAAGCCCGGCGGGCAGCCGCAGCGGCCGGTGACGTGGTGGCAGGGCACTCCCGGGGGACAGGCACAGCGGCTGGCACAGTTCTTCCCGAAGGAGCCCAGCAGGCAGGCTGCGGGGAGACAAGCGGGGAGAGGGAAGCGCTGACTGGCTTCCACACTGCCGCCGACGCCTGGAAGGCCTCAGAGCCCAGAGGCCGGCTCCCGAGGCAGGGCCCTGCCGCGGTATTTTCCGCAGCAACCCAAGAGCCTCTTTCAGGGCGCAGGCTGTCAGCTCCTCGAAACGTTTTTCCGTGACTTGTAGCTCATTAAAAAGGCAATTTGTCTCCTTCCCAGACTTTGGAGCCTCGGAGGGATCTGTCTCACCTTTCTCGCAGCGCCGGCCCCTCCAGCCACGGGGGCAATCGCAAGCACCAGTAACGTGGTGGCACGTCACGTTGTCCCCGCAGTCGCAGTGCTCTCCGCAGCGCGCCCCGAACAGCCCCTGCGGACAAGCTGCAGCGACGCAAACACGGGAGAGGCCACAAGTTACACAAATAAGGCAACATGGATTGTTTGGGTTTTTTTTTTTTCCACTGCGGTTTCTGCCTTTCATTCCTGCCTCACCAGGGCACGTGCTGTGACGCCGCTGGCCACTGCCAGCCCGTGAAGGTGCCATCGCTCCAGCAAGCGGCGCGGATGGAGCTACCGGCCGCTCGTGCCTGTGGCTGGGGGGTGACGGGCAGCACCAGCCCCGCAGCACGGGGACTGCAGCCCCTCTCCTCACCCCACGGCACGTACGGGCATCGCTGCACGGCCCCGACCTGAGCGGGCAGGAGCGGGAGCGTCTCGGTGGCGTCACCGCTCAGATCTGCTCAGGGTGTGTGAGCGTGAAGCGTTCGCTGGCCACCGCCTGACCTGCCGTGGAGGTCTTTTTTAACTGCGCCACATGTTTTTGCAAGTGTCACTCCTGGCACCGCTCAATGAGAGCTGTACTATTTTCAAGCACGGCAGCAGTCATTTAGTTTTGCTGCTTCTTCTGTTGTCACCTGGCTGCCGCAGCGGCAGCCCAGCACAGCGTGTGCGGTGCCAGCACCGGGCAGCAGTTAGCACTACAGGTGCAGAATCGACGAACCCAATTTTCACTTAAAAAAATATCCGTAAGTCCCTGTACAACTGTCCAAACAGGTTGCTTGTCCAGGCGAGGGCCAGGTTTGTGCACGCAGCTGTGGCGTGAGTGGCTGCACCAAGCGCAGCTGGGCAGATGTTTGCACATACGTGCGGTTTGAAATAGAGCTCTGCGGGAAGCCAAGGGGAGGATTCGAGCTTTTGTTTAAAAAAAAGAAAAAAAAAATCATGTAATTTGTGCATGCGTGGGTGGGGTCTTTAATTCATTTCTGTTCAAAGAGATTATAAAACTGAACCTGGGCATAAGCTCAGTGCAGGCAACCACGGGCAGGGCGAGGCAGGAAAGTCCCCCGGGTATGACGGCCAGAACCACGGGGTGCCTGGAAGCCAAACCCCGTACGCTCGTCCTTTGCAATCCCCCCTCTGGCAGCTTAACGCTGCTTCGTGACCGGCGGGGGGGTGTCTAGGTGCAGGGCTTTGAGCTGTGCGACACGGCGCTAGGAGGGGACGACGTGCCCGAGGATGCGGCAGGATCCGGCTGCTCGCCCTCGGCCAGCGCCCGTGAGCTGCAGGTTCGACTTTGGCCCCGTCTTGGCCACCAGCTGCACCGTTTACAGCCTCTGCAAACAGAGACATTCCCAGGCAGGAAACCTGAGAGCACTTTGGGTGGCCGATGGCAGAAATAGCTGCAGCGGGCAGCTCCCTTATGCCCAGACTAATGCTGACAAGTCATGGCACCGGACCAAGACGTGCCTTTTGCACCGTGATGTAAGGAATACGCCAGGCTGAGGAGCCGTGACCTCTGAAAGGGAAGAAGCTTGCGGGTCCTCTCGGTGTGCTGATACTCGATGAGGTCCCTGTTGCTGCTCTTAGCAAGGCCAATAACCTTTTCAACGCTTTCTCATAGCAAAGGGATTGCCAGGGTATGTGTTACATTTAGAGATAAGGTGAACGCGGCAGCCTGCCGAATGACAGATGTAATTATTTGCTGGGGCTCAGGACCGGAGCCAGGCACTTAGGGTCAGTAGAACCAGCCCAGATACAGGGAAGAGTAGGAGAAAGCGCAGAAAGGAGATAAGGTGCTGCTACTCTTCAAATAAATGGAACGGAAGATCTTCACTCGGCATTTTGCTTCCAGTGGTAGTGGGGCGGTGGGGGGAGCAACTGCTGCCCTGCGGCTTCGCACTGATGCTGGGGGGGCCCTTGGGGGACCCCAACCCTCTCCCGCCGGCCGCACTGCTGTGTCCCCCCCCACACCATCGCCTTGGGGAAAGCAGAAAGCACAGCAGTGGGAGAACCAGGGCACGCGGCGCCCGGGAGCTCTCCCTGCAGTGCTGAAATCCAGATGTTACGTCCCCGCTCACAAACCCCCTGGGTCCCGGCACCCCCCTGCACGCAGACACCCCCCGCCCCGTGCCCCCACTTACGGCTCTCGCAGCTGTGGCCCGTCCAGCCGGGTGGGCAGAGGCAGTGGCCG